TCCTGTGTTTGACGGACCCTAGGAAGGGGGTCCTGCTGTGTTTCTTTTGGGTTATATGTTCACATTAATCATTCATGTAATGCGTCTCTCGCTGGAATATGCATGCATAAGTGTTCGACCCGGCCTGCCTGCCTTTTCATTGCGTGCAGAATCGCTTGGAGACGCTGGGTAGGGTCCGGCGAGCTGTGGACTCCCCGTGCCACCGGGAGCAGTTCCTGTAGTGCTGAAGAGTTAGTAATTACTAATTCATCTCTCAAATATCAAATGGCCAGTTTCACACCAGCTCCACACTCCATCACCTCCCCGCTCATCTCCTCCTCTCGCTCAGTTGTTGGCCTCTTTCTCGTTTTTGACCTCCGCGGTATTTTAATGGTGTTTTCTCCCTCGATTCTGAGCCTGCAGCAGACATTTGCCACAGACAGGCTGACATTTCCAAAGGTGCACGAAAAACTCTGCTGTTGGCTGTGGTCCATCTCAAAAGATCTATCTATCTCTGGCCTTCAGTCTACTGCTGAACCTCACATGTCAGACAAACTTGGTCTTTCCTGAAAGTAAAAATAAATAGTCAATAGATTAAGTCTTCAAAAATAATTTATAATAAATCAACAATTTGTCTGTGGACTGATCTTTGAATTTTATTGCCGCCTGGAGTTGTTCATAGCTGACACTTGGGGTGGGCGATATGGTCTAAAATTATCACGGTGTTTTTCACTTTTTTGGAAGGTGATAGTATTATATCACGGTGTTATTTTTTCAAGTTTTGAGAGGATTAGCTTGGGCATCATTAGGTCTGAGTATTTTAGCCCTGATGTCAATCTTCCATCAAAAAAGAAAAAGCAAACCCCCAAATAAACAGACGTTTTCAACAGCTAGAATGGGGCATGTGCTGTCCCTTTATGTACATTATGTACATGTATATTACATATTGTATTAAAGTACAGCTTAATCGCTATATATTACAGTTGGGTATGGGCGGTCTTATTTCGAAAAGATATAAAAAGTGACAAGTAATGATTTTTCATTCATTTTTTAATTGTGGTGCATTTTTCAGTTCATTTCAAATAAAATGCTGGGTTTCCAACTTTGGTCAGCATTTGCATGTATATCACAGTTCTTTTTTATCTTGTAAATGGTCTGTGGGGTATGCAAACTACCCCAATGCTTTTAATGTTGCTAATTTTATTTTTATAGTGGAATAATATATTTTTGCCTTAAGATTTCTTGGGTAAGCACGAGTCTGAAAGCCGGAGTGTCACGCGCCAGATGCGTATGAGTTGGCACCCCTGGGAACGCAAGTTTTTTTTAATTGTTTCACCTGAGTTGATTTGTATAAAAATAACATTATTTTATAAAGTTGTTATTAAAGGTAAACATGAAATCACCAATTATATCTACGTCCATTATTCCAGCATTTTATAAGATACTGCGTTTGGAAACTTTTAAGCTGTAGGATATCAGGATAGTGCACCCGCTCTATTAGGAACATTACGGCTTTTTGTTAGATTCGCTAGTGTTTTATATACATAATGTGTATTATTTTGTATAATGTGTATAATTGTCACAGCATGTCATAAAAAATTCGCAGATAAACCGGTTACATATACCTTATAAGGACAAGTATTCAGATTACAACTGAAGCTTTGAACGTATTAAAATGGTCTGTTTCTTATAAATATGCTTTTGTATAATTAGGCTGTTGACCGGTATAGTTGTCATCCATATCGTGGCGGACAGTCACACCGGAGATGACTGACACGTACCGAAGTATCCCGCACCCATAGCGGACACATCTGTTCGAGGTGATGGGCTTATATGCACTTAATGGTTGGAATCTCAATAGTTTATTAAGCTGAGAGCACAGTGTTGGAAACAGACAGTTGAGATTCAAACAATTTCTTGTTTGGATCAGTAACATCTGAGTTCATTTTTTATTTGTTAATTCTGTGTCTTACAGACATTGGTTTAAGCAATTGCATTTCTGTAAAAATTGATCATAATTAAAGAAACCACTGTGTTCTTCACAATCCTGCTTCGCTTAAGCAAAGCAGCAGTACCGGCGCTGTTAACTATTGACTTGTTCTCCTATAGCATGACTGTTTATGCTCTGATTGACGTGCTGTAATGACTGCCTTCATCGTAGTCGGTGTCATCCACGCAGCGTCTGTATTTGACAAATCAAACGAGCCTCCCTATTCCGAGGGAGATTGACGCCATGGCCCAGTGTGACGGAAGAAAGCATTCAAATCTCAGTAAACAGTAAGCTCTCTCTCGTTAAATATTTATTGTGCTAAGATTTTCAGAATTTAGCTATTATGTAGACCAGAAGGTTAAAGCTGAGGATTACTGGTCAAACTGGGGGTTTTACTGAATATCTTTTTTGTGCAAACTAATATTGAAACCTAAGTCTGTTACTTTGGATAAAGATGTCTGGCAAGTATATTAATGTCATTATGAAACATTCATAGAATATAGTGATTGCAGATGTGCAGATTCAAAACCCATGATGGGGGGTGGTTACTGTGTGCTGTTAATTGCTTCCTTGTTTTTGGGGAGAGAGTTAAACTAATTGGTGACTGACAGCTTGTGATGATCCCGCCCCCTGTGGCTTTCATTGGATAAAATCCAGCAGTGGTCCGTGTGCCTGTGATGGAGCATCAGGGTGAGGACCGGCGATCCCCATCAGCGCACGTACCTCGCCTGTAATTTCTGTGCCGCCCGTAGCTCTCACGCATGCTTGGGTCTGTCTCTCCACCGGCGTGAATCAGTAAACGTTTATAGACCAATCCGCTAATATGCTGACGTAACCCCACTTTTAAGCTGAACTCAGAGGAAGTGCTTTTGGGCTCGTGTTTGCCTTGAAGAAGATGAGTGCACTTCAGAACGGCGACGAGGAAGAGAAAGAATTGATTAATTGTGGTATCTTCCATGGAAACATGCAAAGTGGGCATGCATGCTCTGTCCGGCAGTACCTTCGGTCCCTTGCTGATGTGGTCAGTTATGTAAGTCGCTTGCTAAGCAGTAACCTTTATCCTGACTTACATAACTGCCTGAGCTGAGCTGTGTTTCACGCCTGTGCTGAAGGCAACACATGAACATGCAGTCTCTTGTTCAGATATTTAGATATTAAATAGGAAACACTGTGCGACACGCCGGCAGTATTAAGGCAGAATGTCAGGTTGCTTTAGAGAAAAGCCCCGGGCAGGTAAACAGCAGATATGTCAAGAGTCTTTCTGCTGTGGGTCTCAGTGTTCCTGAAATGAGCATTTCTATAAAGCGGCATATATATATCGACCACCTGTTTCGTATTAATGTCCTGTCATAAATGATGTAGGCCGGCCCATCGTTCACATGGGGGCGGCTGGGGGGTTGGCTGTGTCTTTTCCTGTAACGGAATGTAATCATCCTGCATTTCCATCCACTGGAGGCAGCCTGTATTTTTCAGGGGGGAAATAGACACATACAGAAGCAAAAAAAAAATAAATAAAAAATAAATAAAAAATAAAATGCTTCTTTAAATATGTCAAAGACCAGAGTCTCTAATTACCCGTTACATCATTCAGTCCCATGTCTTCACACATCGGACGGGTTCTGTTTCCACAGCAACCGTTTCCCTCAATTTATGCTCCAGACACGCGCGATTAATAGGGCAATCGCAAGGCGCTCTGCACCTGCCTGTGTCATGGCTGGGAGGGGGACTCCCAGGCTGAACTCCGTGATGCACTTAGATAGGGGCCAGTTTTCCATGGTGGCACAGTCACCCATAGCATGTTCCTGCTTACAAAAGGTTTCCCAAGAAGCAAGTCATAGTCAGAAACACGTACTAAAACGAGCATTTCCTTTTTGGTGTAGCCTCACATGCTGGAAAGGGGATTGAAATGGCTGCACATTTTAATGCTGCTCTTTCAAGTTCTGTGCGTATTTCTGGTCTTTGTATGAATGTGGTTTTCAGTCGTGCACTTGGTGGATAACAGCGTATGTTCTTACAGGAACGGAAAATGAATTAGGGGAGCCTGAACATGGCCACGATGAGCTTGGGCACCTTTGGGACTGTGGTCACAGTTTTACAGTGTAGTCCCCCCCGCCTTGAGTGTCCCCCGTCATTTGCAGGATGGCCCAGTTATTGTGAAAGGGCAGCTCACTGTTCATACCTGTCCTCTGTCCCTCTTCCAAGAGGTGCACCCTGTGTGTTTGCAAATGCCCAAACACCAAAACCCTGTACCCTAATGAATGCTGCGATTCCCCTGGTGTTCTCTGGCTCGGGTGTCCAGTCCCGAGGGATTCAGGATTCAGTCCCGAGGGATTCAGGATTCAGTCCTAAGGATTCAGGATTCAGTCCCAAGGGATTCGGGATTCAGTCCTAAGGATTCAGGATTCAGTCTTAAGGATTCAGGATTCAGTCCCGAGGGATTCAGGATTCAGGCTGAACACCAAGCAGGACACGACCCAGCTAGGCACAGGAGAATGGGCACTGTGGATTTTCCAAAGGGATCAGAGGTCAAGAAAACCAATATCAGTTCGGTGGATCCATTGCTGTCATTTCTGGGGGGGGGGGGCGGTGTGTGTGAGTGTCAATGTTTTCTTCACAACAGACACATGATGACTGTGCAACATCTTACACTATACCCATGAGGTCTAATGAGTCATCTGTGTCATTATTCATCCAATCAGACATGGACAGGGTGCAATATTCAACCCTGACTTAATTCTATTCTGAGATGCTCGCTACTGATGGGTGGGGCCACAAAACACTGGCCCTTTAAATGGGGGAGGAGGTAAATATGGGCATCTGGTATGTGTTGTTATCTCTCAACAGCTGCACCTGGCCATTCATTTCTCAGTATTTAATAGAACAATGCAGATGCTCCAAATGCATTGTTGCCCACTATGCATATGCAGGGCTGCATTTGGGCTTGTCTGCTGATTGAGTTAAAAGGCGAAATGCATTTCCCAGTCCTGTCTAATGCAGCATATCGGGCTCATCACTGCAGAAAAAAACAGTCTTACAGAAACAAGATTTTCTTTAATAGATCAAAAAACGTACATATAGTTAAAAACATTTATTTCCATGTCTGATATAACAAAACTGCTTCACCTTAATCCTTACTCATATATTATAATAGTAATCCCTTAATCTCACTTATAAAATAGTTTAATTTATTGTAGGTACGTTTAACTAAGACATATCTAAAGTGCAAAATCATGATCGCAATGATATATGGGAAATAAAGAGTGCACATTTTCATGTATTCCGTTAATACCTCTAAAATGTACATTTGCAAATGTAAAAGAACAGCGTCTTTAAAAACAAAAAGGCAAACAGAGATAAATCATAAATAGCCAAAATCCTTCTTCTGTATTTAAGATGTTGTACAATAAATAAAACACCCCAATAACAATACAGCACAGTATCGTTTGAGAACAACGAACGGGTAACTGCCTTTAACAGACGCACTTTAAGAAAACATGGTACAGACATAGTCGTTTGACCTGTAAAGGTGTACCAGTTATCCAATGGTCAACTTCTTTGTGTTCTTGTGGAAAAAGAAAAGAAAAATCTGGGAGAAATACCAGTTTTGTGTTCATGACACTAGAACTGCACTTGAAACTACGTAATCCAGCTGGGTGTACCCTTAGAACGTGGAGGCTACCTCTATATTACCAAGTGTAAACATGACTGGCTTGCACACTGAGTTACACCCTTACGCCCCCTAGTGGTTACAGCGGAGGCCGTGAGGAGAAGATTGCGACAGAAAAAGAGGCCCCCGACCTGGGATCCGAGCCCCTAAGACCTGGCGTGTGAATGTCATAGAGAGTAAACACTGAAGGCGCACTGAGAGGACGGCTCATTTTAATGCACCGTTTGAGGCTCTGACCTTCGCAAACTGCAGAGAGCACATCGAGCAGGCCTAGTGTGTAGGAGAGTGCGAGCCGGAGTAGAGAGCTTGCTGCTCACATTTGTGGCCTCAGATCTTCCCATCTAGCGTGTTTGAGGAGGTCCGAGATGCTCAAGGTCATTCGGCATAACGAGTGACCTTCTGGCGATTTAATCATGAAATGATCAGGCAAACTGTCTCCATGAAGTTCTTACTCTTGAAATATTATTTCTGAGTAAGTAAAATTGTTGTTGCTGGTTCCAACTTTATTTCTTTGGTCTGACAGTCCGGATTATTTTAATTGTTGAACTGTTGTAGCTCTTTTTCAGCCGCGTGAGAACACCGGAAAGTCACAATCACTGGCACTGGACACCAAAACCTAAAAACCGAGTACAGCTAGGAGATTTGTCCACATAGTCTGACAAAGCCGATCTTAAACTGGTAAATCGTTAGTCATCATCGTTGTTACCATGACTCCCGGCCAGAACTCTAGGCAGCGATAAAATGACCTAGACTTTCTCAGCAACTGTCCAAACTCTCAAACTTACAAACACAAAATAACCTTCAAACAAACTCACTGGCACATTTGATAAAAAGCTAAGTCCAAGAAAAACTCTAAATTCATCTGCCACTAAAACGGGTTAAACCCCAGGTTACTGAGGCCACTGTGCCAAACTTGAGACGACACCCATCATCCTGCTGAAACAGGAGTGTAATAGATTATGGTGGCAGCGCCTTGAGAGACGTCATTTGCATTTACACAATTCTCGTTTTGTCAGCTACCCTCTCAGACTCATCTTCACTTTGTCTCTGCTAATTATGCTCCAGACGGTTTCTCTAGAAGTTGCGAGATGCCTTTGTTGAAAGAGCCGTACATTACAATTTCACTTCTCCATACGGCGTTGAGTTCCGAGAACCCGTGGAGATTAATTGCACAAGAGTGCAGAGAAGTTAACCCGGGCAACGTGATTGGCTGTTGTATCTGTGGCAGCGCTTGATGTTGGATGTTAGATGGGATGGTGACACCTACGTTCCGGACCCCACTTCTGTCTTAAGGAACAGTCGACTTTTCCGGTGGCTTCAGCCTCGCACTGTGAGTGACATTTAGGAGTCAGCCCTACCGGGTGGGCTGAAATGAGATTTTCCAGATGACAATAATTCAAGATAGGTGATTGAGCTGGTGGAAGCCTGGTAATCGGACACACACGACACACACATGCTGAGGTGCTGCACCTTCTCCCTGAACTGGACAAAAAACCATTAAGTCACTAGCAAAACCACAGACTGGTGTGTGTTAGAATGAAAAACAAACAGACCTGCTGATATACTAGGGAGGAATCAGCTTCTCGCACGTCCCCTCAAATCCAAAACCATCTCAGTATAGCAGCCAGGGATCACGAAGATAAAGCTGAAGAGAAGCGACATGTTCCCCTGAAAGTCATCATAAACAACAGGCCTGCCTGAACCCAGCCGTGGGGGCGCAGGGAAAGAGGAGGGAAAATGAATCTGTCAGGCTTGATTCCGCAGACTGATTTCTTCTCTGCTGCTACATATCCAGTGACCCGCGTACTATAAATGTTCTGACCATTTTTTCTGGAGTTCTGTATGGGAATGGCTATGCACTGTCAGCAAGGAAACTGCTATGCAGCGTCAAAAATTCCAGCAACGCTTTAACCCAGTGAATAACCTTACCTTATGCTGAACATCTTGTCTTCTGCACAGTGACTCCTTTGGTGAATTGAATGCTTAGAGGTAATTATTTCTGACTAATACAGTGTAATTTCTTATGTCCTGTGCAGGCAAACCCTAAGGCAATGTTTCTCCCATTTACATCTAACTAGAGCAATCTTCATGAGCAAGGTCAGCAGGGTGACTGGCTACAAGCAAATGAGGCTCGAAAGAATGGATTACATGATCGGGAAACTGGTTCCACGAGGAGACAGGGACCCCCGACTCGATTGGATGGTTCTTGTGCTCATTAAGAGATGTATGAAAGGAGATGGTTAGGAGTAGTAGCTTCACTCGAAACCAAGCTGGCAGTGGGTGTGATTATTACACCTGATTGCTTCCCATGGGTCGCTTTAGCGGTTCCTGTTGGTTTTAACCAGACGGCGTTTAAAAATGTAGGATAACCCTCCCAACTATTGGCATCAAAGCCTCATCTCTCATTCAAGCACAGGGGTGCTCAATTAGCAGCCCACCAACCACATCCCAGCCAGCGAAATCTACCAAGGGGGGGGTCCTGGGAAATGTTCATCTGGGGCAATGGAGCTTGGCTTGGTGTTGATGATGGAATTTGGACCTTGGGGAAAAATAGCTGATGACCTCTGTTCTAGCAAGTAGCACTTCTCAACCCAAGAGACTAGATTGCTAATTGCACGTCAACACCCTGAAGTCTCCCAGTGATATCCCTTGGACACCTTTGCCGCTTGCACCAGAAGAGTGAACGCTGATCAGCTGGCCAGTGTCTGGCTTCTCCCTGCCATGACATAATAATCTGTAGATTGCAAAGCACAGTTCTGTGATCATTAGCTTAAGGGATTGCGATCTAAAGGCGTTTGCTTCCAAAGAAACTGAGTGTCACTAAATCCAGTCTCTGAAAAGACACGAGGCAGTGCAATTCGCCTCTGTATTCCTTACTGCACCATGCAAGTCTCCATCATTCTAATTCAGCTGTACACACGTTTTGAAATGCTTAGAAGAAGCTAACGATGTTAAGTAGCTTGCTTTGGAAAAGTTCAAATCTAAACATAGGTGTTTTGCACTCGACACACCAACATTTTCTTCTCGTTTGAAGACAATGTCAATTCCACAAGTCTATTTCCCCATACCTGCCCCCCCCCCTTCAAGGAAATCCTTTGTGCAGTGTTAGGGTTTGCTACTAAATAATTTAGTAGGCAATAAGAGAAAATTAGAAACTCTGCACAAAAACAGATGGGCAGGCAATGTGTGGAACAAATCTGCTGGCAATCAGCTTGAATGATCAGTCAAAACTGGCCCTGTTACTTTCTTTAAGGTTCCTCCTCTGCTTCAGCAGATGGCTACCCCTCCTGAAGAAGGCACTGAGGATGTTTCAGAATGTCCCTCCTATGACTGACACGCCGGTTTTGACTGATTTCGAATGACAGAGATTTTCCATGTAGAGTTAATGTCGCTACGAGTCGGTGTTCTGCTCTGTTGAGAATGTGTAGACAGTTCCAGAAAAGATGGCAAGTAGAGGACCTTTGTTTGAGTAATCACCTTGCCCCCTCTTTAATATCTTCTTAGAGGAAAGCGTACGAGTGTTGGTCATGTGACTGTGCATTTTCCTGGTACCTCAAAGTGCATGACAGGTATTCTTGGTAGGAACCACCAGGATTTACCAGCCTGCTCATGGATAGCACTTCCTGATCGAATACGGGAAGGCTAGTTACCCAGCTGGTCAGTTCCGAAGGAGTACCGATGTCAGGCATCACTGAACCGCAGTCTTTGTAAGAAAGTCGTGTTACCCAAGAGTGATTTTTGTTTGTGTCTCCCTCCCTTTCCCACCAGTTCGCGCCTCCTCATCACTCCTTGGTTTGGAGGGAACCTGCGTCCCAGTCCTCTTGGGCAAAGCCTGCTAGAGGTAGAGATAACCCACCCAGTAAACGACATTGAAGAGCAGGAACGAAGTGGGGAAGAAGACGCGCGAGTAGGCGTCCAATTCCAGGATGTCTATGTGCACTCGGCCCCTCCGCCAGGCGCCACCCTTACACTCCTCGTAGCAGCAAAAGAAGCTCTGGCAATCCTTGCCATCCAGGCACTCGTAGAGGCACGCCTCCTCGAACTCCTGCCAGTACATGGCGTTGTTCAGCGTGATGACCGTCGGGGACGGTGCCACGTCCAGCACAGAGTAGTTCTGGAGGGTAGAAGTTACAAGTAGAATCAAACTGAAAGTCGCTTAAGATAGTCGGCTAGTCATGTGAGGTAAAACGTACCATATTCTTTAATTCCTAGCTGTAAGCCTTATTCAGGCCTGCACCAACTTCCTGTGATAATCTACATTCTATACAGGTATGTCATCAGCTACAATTCAAGCTAGGGTTTAAGTCCGCTGAACACATAGTGAATAAGAAGCTAACGTGATGTCAGGCTGGTGCACACTGTGCCTCGATTTCCACAGGCCCAGTTTGAGCACAGGACAGGCGTAGACTGACACCCTAAAACGAGGTGGCGGCAACGTGGGAATCACATGGCACATGCACTTTCATGGTGCCCCTAGCAGGTCTCCCTTAGCTCTCAGCCTCGTTTGACTTTGGTCTGCACCATAGCAGCAATAAATCATGGTCGTCTTCATGGATTTTAACTGATGGAGCCCCAGAGGAATGAGGTGGTCTCCTTCCTCATCTGCATTCCGGGCTAAAAAAATCTGCACTTCCTGGGAAAAGGTGCTTCATAGCCTCCATCCCGAGGGTCTGCACTGAAAGTGCTGTGTGCGTCTCAGGTACAGTACAGGTTTATTTATATCTGAACTGCTTAGCTATTATTCACCAGGGGTATGACTACAGGTAGGCAGGGGCTGGGTACTGCCCCCCCAAACTGATCGTCTGCCTACCCAATAGTAAACATTATTTTTGTTTATTAAATAAATTAATCATTTTTACCATCAACACCCCAAGCCCAGAGTTGCCAACTCTCACGCATCTGGCGCACTCACACTTTCAGTCTCTCACCTACATTATTCAATTATAAACCTAAAATCTGCTACATCAAAAGCTTTGGGGTAGCAATAAAACTGTTACATACATGTAAATGCATGTGCATGCGTGTGCAGACTCATTTCGAATTGAAAATCTCACTCCAGCCAGCTGACCGAAGTTGGCAACCCTGCAACGCCAACTGAACATTGCCCACCCAACAGACCCAAATGCCAAGATGGTGCCACCACTGTCATTCAATAAGGCTACACTTACAGTATGCTTTTTAAACAGCCTGGTAAATAGCAGAAAGTTGTTATTGTCCCTCCGACATATTTTAGGCGAATGGTTACACTTCAGAGGCCAGTGTGGTGGTGCAGTGGTTAGCGCTGCTGCCTCGCAGTGAGAAGGTCCTGGGTCCGGTCCTGGGTCCTTTCTGTGTGCAGTTCACATGCTCTCCCCGTGTTTGCTGGGGGCTCCGGTTTCTTTCCACAGTCCACAATCATGCAGGGTAGGTTTATTTGTGAATCTGAATCGGCCCTGCGGTGTGTTGGTGACTGCTCAGGGTTGGTTCCTGGGATGGGCTCCAGTCCCCCCACAACCCCAGTTGGGATTGAGTGTTTTCAGGAAATGGATGAATGGGTTGCACTTCATGTGGGCTGTTTATGTAGAGCAGGTTAGCATCTAGAAAGGTAAACCTGTAAGCTTATTTCTGTCCCATTTTGGCTTTGAGGGAACTTGTGAAAGGAGCAAGCTAGCAAATGAAAATGAAGCCAAGATTTCCATGGCGATGATTCATTCACGCCAACAAATTGAAATTTCATTTGACTGGGAAAAAAAGAATGCATCTGCGGAAAAAGCACTAACGATATGAACCGCCATTTCCGCATTTTGTCATTTGCGCGTCACGTTTTCTGTTAGCTTACCGGCTACTTGTCTAAGCTCCATTTTATCCCAGACTTACATTAATTCACTTAAGCTGTGGTTAAAAGCGTAAAAGCCCGGATCATTCCGAGTGCACGTAAACAAACTGTGAACTCGGGACATCCATTGTGAACCCACACGTCAGGGGAAATTAAGCACTTTCAATACACTCTGGGTGTAAACAAGTCCAGTGACAGATTTTCACAATTTCAGTGTGAGCTGGTTTTGAAAAGTCTTATGAGCTTCAGTGTTCCTGTGAATAAACATGCGATCTGATTTGCTGTATCTTATGCCTTAATTCTACCTGCGACAAGAGGGAATTATGCACTGAAGTGGGTTTGCCATCACGCTACACGGCATATTGTCTGGTAGATCTGGGCTCCATACATTCATTCTATACCGTCTATGCAGATGCTCCGTGACTTATAATAGGATTATCTACTGATTAACAAATCCTAAATTGAAAATATTGTAAACCGAATATGAATATGATATGACATGACACACTTGGGTATTTAATAGACAGAACGGGCTTGGGGAAATTTTGTTGAAACACAAAAAACCCAACGTATGGCATCGTTGCAATCACTACAGAGACTGGGAGCGACTGGGAGCTGCTGTCAGCCGGCACCAGTACAAGGTATCATACGGCATATTGCTAACAAGGGATCGGGTCAAAATTCGATATATGACAACAACCGAATGTGCATCGCTATCGCATCATCGTAAAGTCGAAATATCCTAAGTGGATCCCCTGTGCTACCTGGATGGATTACAACCCCACGTTGTAGGAAAACGGACGGATGGATGGATGGATGGATTTCCTGAGGCTGCGACTTACTGCTGTGTATGAGGTTTCTAGCTCCTCCTGCTGGATTAAGGTGTTACTGGGAGCAGTGGTGAGACGTGAGAAACTGCACGCGGACCAGCGGAGGGTTGGGAAATCGCAGTGAGGCGGTGGACTCTCACCGCTCTCCTGGTCTTGGTGCAGGTAGGCTTGCGCGCGCTGTAGGAGTAGTAGTTGAGGGTGGCGTACTCCATTAGGGCGGCGAAGACGAACAAGAAGCAGACGGTCACAAACAGGTCCATGGCAGTGACATAGGAGACCCTGGGCAGTGAGGTCCTGGCCACTGTGCTGAGTGTGGTCATGGTCAGCACGGTCGTTATACCTGCAGAGAAAAGCAGCAGACGGTCACATGACCACAATGATGATGTGATTCGTCATTAATGACTGATTAATGACAATGAGAGTAGCAAAAAAGAGCAACAGCTCTCTGGGGTCATCTGACTGCGTGGTCGGAGGTGCGGGGGGGGGGGGCATTAAGAGGGTAGGAAGGGCTGATGGTGGAATAAACGGAAAAAAGGAAGAATAGCACAGATTGTCTCGTAAACGTGCTTCAGGTACAGGAAAGACGTCTTTGCAGAGAGACGCTCCCGGAAGCTTCTCACAGATCTGAAGACGTCGACGGCACGCGGTCTACATCCACAGCTCAGCGCCGCCGTCCTTTTCCTCTGTCTTATTTCGGGTGAAATTCGTTTCGCTGATGATCCACGTTGCCACATGTCTGGCGTGACGGGGGGTGGGATTGGGGGAGGGCAGGGTTAAAAAAATAAATGCAAGAAAAAAACCTGCAAGCTGAACCAAGGCTGAACGCAGACACGCGGGTGGGAGGGGGCGGGGGGGATGGGGCGGGGACGACATGGGACTGTTTCAGTGGTTTCCATGGAAACAAGCGGGGCGCATCTATTTTAGGAGGGTATCGCACACCCAATTCTCTTTCCTCAAACTGTTGGCCACGGTGATTGGCTTCACCTGTTTGCCTGCCTTTGGCTGACAGAACGAGACACACACAGAAAAACAACTGCAAGAAACCCTGGATGCACGAAACAAAGAAGACAAACATTCCTACAGGGGAAGGTGGGAATATCAAGTGCTGCTTTTTTTACATGTCGCCCCCGGCAGGACGGATAGAATGCGGGGCCGTTTCTGAAGGGCGCCATATTGGAAAAACACAAGGATGACACCTAATTTCCTGTCCGCCTCATTTCCATGGCACCACAGAGCTGGCAGTGAGAGGGGGAGACGTCTTGCTCCCTCCACACTCCCGCTAGTGTTCATTAGTGTCTCCGGGGGCCCTGCTTGTATGGTAATTTCTCCCGAAAGGGGCCGGGGGGGCTGTCAGCCAGTGCGGACGCCGAGCCGAGGTCCGGGGGACGTGACAGCCCGCCAATCCTCACCCGCCGGTGCTGACATTTCTCCCTCCGTCTCGGCGAGCTAAAGCTTATCTCCCCTCCTCTGCTTCGGATTAAAAGTGGTGTCTGAGCGCAAATATCCATTTTTTTGTTTTGTTTTGCAGTCATAATGACTTCCTTTGTTCGGGTATTTAATGGCATTTTCCTTCTCTTCATCCAGACGCATCTCTCTCTAACACAACAGGCCCTCTGGCTCTGTGACTGTAAATCCTTCGTCAGTCAACAAGAAAAAAAAAAAGAAAAAGAAAAAGGGAAAGCAGAATTCTTCACGCCGAGGATCCCGAGGGCCATGCGCCGTGGCTGGGCTTCAGCTGAATATCCCAACACAGCAAAGTGCTCCTCAGTAAACTGGCTTCACACTGGCATCCCAGTGACAGCTCTCTGGAGTCTCTGGCTTTACCCTATAGTTTAACACCATTGTTAAGTGCGAAACCGATGCAAAAATAAGCACTGCTTTGAAACACAAAACAGAGAAAACACACCTTCAGTCTGGGACTATAAGGAACGGCATGTGGCTGACAAGGAAGACAAATAGCTAATAGGTAAATGTCCCGCAGTCCTCAGCTGATCCCCGCTTACAGTCACACTGCTATTGTATCCGGAACAAAACCAAACAAATGTTACCGTTAAACAAATGACTGCTCCTGCAGTTCTGGGCTGAGAGTTTGTTCTTTTGAAGTGTGAAGGTGATGACAGCTCCTAAGCTTGAAAAGTCGTGACCAGCAGGTTTTTGTTAACAGTTAATAGGTATTATTATTATTATTTTGCTTCCTGGGATAACATAAGAAAAAGAATTTAAAAAGTCTATCAGAATTCTTATTCGGGACTAGACACATTTTTAAGTGAGTAAAATGTTGCCGCATTCTTCTTGCATTTAGATCAAATTTGCTCTCAAAAATTTTGCAGGAGATGATAGGCTGATCTGGGCTTCCGGGTACAGTTGATAGGATTTTGATTGGCTGATGACCTGCGTCCTGAAATGACTGCCAAACAGGTGTGCAGAACAGACACCCACACAGACACGGGACACATGGACCAAGGCAGCGAAACGGCACGATATCTCATAACATGGGGAGGTAAAAAAAACTAAAACAAAAGAAAGCAATTACCTTCACCGACATGCTCTTCTGGACAAGCAGAGGCGATGGGATTTTATAAAAGAACCATGAAAACATAAAAAAACAAGGTAAGCGGAAATGGGAAACAGGCTTGTTGACTGACAACCACTATTACAGGCTGAAGTGAGCCAGAGAGAGACAGGCGACATTCATCATCAGCGCGAAAATGTGGACGACTGGCACAAAGCCCGCTCGGCGGGGACCTGCGGACAAGTCTGCACTTCACACATTTATTATGGCCAAATTTGAATAAATAAGATTATTTTAAACCTCCCTTATTTGCTATATTTTTACAAATTTATTTGTCATACAAAGTATGGCTGTCGGTCCCAGGCAGACGTACCCAGAGCGGTTCGGGCTGGGGTGGCGTCCTTTTTGATCCAGAAGGACACCCAGGACAGCACTACTGTCAGGATACATGGTATGTAGGTCTGGATGGTGAAGTAGCCCATTCGCCTGCTCAGGTCAAAATACACGGTCATCACCACGTAGTCTCCTGCGCAGGATGGACAGACGCAACGTCCGGTCAGAGGTGGCTGGTTAAGGCAGTCTCTGTCTGCTGTCAGTCACTTACTGCTTCAACCAATGGGACTTAAGAAAAGTCATGGATTTATTTGAAAAGGTAGTAAATCATCACAATGAATCAACATGCAGTGAGGCGAATAATTTTTTTTTTGTGGTGCTTAATATTTATTCTTTAAGATTGTAGTCTTTGTTAATTCTCTGAATGGGTTCTTAATTAAAATTATTACAAAACTCTAGTACACAGACAACAGCTTCTAAAATATAGAACATATTGTTCAAATACATGAGACACATTGAATTGTTTTGGAAATGGCGAGGCTATTAAAAATTACATAACCGTATAGAGATAATAAAATCACTGTGGAAACATGATAAGCCTACAAATAGTGGCTTTTCAGTCCAAACTACGGGCAAACAAATATATTTTTATATATCACGTCAGATACCAAGAACAAACAGAATCTGAGCTACAGACCCCTAAGGCAAAACTAACCGACCTCAAATACTGAACTGATTTAGGAAACCTGCTTATCAACATACGTACTCCCCAAACATCAAGGGAAAAAGGCTGCATACCAGAAACTGTATCAAGTTACCAGGTGTTAAGTATGTGCTTCATAATTTTATTTTGTTATGTCATTTTTTGTGTCCTGTAATCCTCAGAAACACACACCTGTCAGTGACATAAACATCAAACGCGGAACACACACCGTGGCTCCCCTAAATGAAGCCATTTGCTCCGTGGAGGTTTACAAACTTGCGGAGTGATTTTTCTGACAGGAGGCCACTCACTTATTCAGCCACTGGCTGCTAGAAAGCGAGGGACATGCTGCTATCCTCGACTGCAGTCATGGTGAAATGGACTCGCGTCACTGCAAGAATCGAGGGAACGATTCCTTGTCTTATGGCTCAGATTACGCATCCCGCAAAGCCACGTACAGCACGGTCGAGTCAGTTTGAGAAGAGTAACGTTCATAAGGCTTGACCTTGAAACCGGGCTCTTCAGGAGGAGCATTGAGGAGCCCGGAGAACTCGTAAACTTTAATGACTTTCGGCAAGGACGTTACTTATAGTCCGGCCCACTTTCGCATTTATGTATTAAGTCCTTTGTGACTGCAGAAGGGAAGACATTCATCTGACATTTAGCAGGAAACAATATTTTTACTTCACTCATCGCCTGACTTTATTCCTCGGGCTGTTATTGATGTCAGAGAAGATGATCATAATGCGTCTGAAATACAGAGATGTATCTCAGCTCATCATGGGCAGGGGACAGACCTGTGTGTCGGCCTCTTACTGGTACGGTATGGAGTTACGGTCCCCCTTACTGGTGCGGTATGGAGTTACGGTCCCCCTTACTGGTGCGGTATGGAGTTACAGTCCCCCTTACTGATGTACCCAAGGGTTTTCCTACTGGCAAATTGGATGCACCTCCTAATTTAAATAGGTGCATTGCGATGGCTTCCCACTGGTGTACTGGGAAATGTAGGGATTCCTGCTGATTAACTGGAGAAGTTTCCTACTGGTTGCAGAGGCAGGGGCTGGAGCTGCTTTCTGCCACCTGCTCTATCCACAGTCCCCCCCCCCCCCCCCCCGGGGCGGCACGACTCTGCTCCTGAACACGGTGGCCCTGCACTGAATGTCAGTCACTCCCTGGTGTCACCTTTTAAGTCGGATATGTGACGATTCTCCACATACGAAGAGAAGCAGCCATGTGTCTGAATCACGGTTTGGAAATGAGTTATTTACATATTAGCACACCTCCCACCCCACAAGCATTCACGTCACATAAATACAGTAAGTAATAGCACATCTTTTAAGTGTAATATATAGCAATATTACATTCATCCACCTAAGATGGGCCCCGGGCCCCGGGCCCCCTGTTCAGAATGAGTCCTTGGAAGATGGACGGAGATATTGCTTTATATACTAATATATCATGTTCACCAGGGCATATTAGAATATTTAATTTCACTTGTCCTGATATTTGAAGCCTGTAACATATGAGCTTATAAACACACCTGTTTGCCTTGTGACCTTTTGACCTGGAAGTGCACTATATATCCAGAAGAGAAAATGTCAGCTGGTCCCCTGGTTTCTGGCCTAAGACATTTACATGGTTTTGAAAGAGCACTTGTAGTCATGACAACAACGATTAGCTCGCCATGGCTAACGCCGTAATTAACGTCTTAACGACCATGTCACTGAAAATGCCGCATGTTACCAATGGTGACATTTGTCTCTTACCTGCTGATGTTCTGACGATGTCCGACGTGTTCCGTAAGCCCATGAAGTCAAACTGGTAAAGCCTCCAGGATTTCTGGTCCGCCGCCTCCACAGAGTTCTTCCGCCACTTGTAAATCATCTCGTCGCGCGGGTATCCGTCTGGAATTATAAAGGGTGACCAGGACGACTCCAGGTGGGACCCCCCCCCGTCTTTGCAAAGGCAACATTTGTCTGTCGCCAAGGGCCAGCGAGTGAAATCTCACTGTCAGTGATATTGATTAGAATTTGTAGCATAATTTCAGAAACCCTACAATTGTATTATCGACAGAAAACAAAACCATTATTAGCAGTGACGGGCAATACAAATTCATCACAGAGGGTAAAATTGTCAGGGGGATGTTTTAATAAAGCAAGCAGCTGTGATCTTACCATTAAGATCTTACTTTCATAAGCACTGATCTGGGTGACTGGTATCTGTACATTTAAAAGACAAACTGAAAAGACAAACTGATATATTTCGTCGGTCCCTGGTCTCCATCCTTTAACCTTCATGAAATTCACGCTCTTATTTTTCCCATGGAAAGGGATTTGGTGGCGGGGGAGGAACATGATTCATCAACAGGATCATGATGGATAGTTCAGTGGAGAAAATACTGCACTGCATAGACTGGTGCTGCGTTCTCACTCTGGACGAAGGAGAGCGGAACAGCGTGCTGGTCGCCGCTGACCGTGCCGGCGGAGAGTCTGCCTTCCCAAGGTCAGCAAACGTACCGGCCGGATCTGCCGCTTGCGGTCACTCCAGCGGCTGACGAAACACTCGTAGGTATTCACGTTTATTACTCTGCTTGCTCAGTGGTCCATGTTTACTTAACGCTCCCCAATAAATGGGTTATCAAACGGGATGAAGATGGTATCTTATTATGTGCGGCCATAAGCTGGTAATGAGAGGAACAGCACTGCTTACGCAAACTGAGCCTCACAGACACACATACTCAGCTTGTGTGCACAAAATATTCAAGCTTCGGTATATAAACACATTATTCCCATCTCCTGGATACCAGCCAAGGCACCGTATACATGAATAATGATGGTGTGGTGTGGCACAACTAATTTGTATTAAACCGGGTTCAGATTCTTGGAATTAATTACATGTGACTCACAATAATTGCTTAATTAAAAGTTGCTATTCCCAGAGACAAGCTGGTGAAATGAAGGCAAAAATTATGACTTTAGGGTAAGAAACCAAGTTGTGAAAAACAATTTTGCCCTCACAACCCCCTCCTAGATCATCACGCATTCGCATGATGAATGTCACCGATCGGCTCTATGTGAAATTAGCCCAGCGGGAGGTAAACATACATCGTGCTTCGTGGGAGCAACTGAGCTGTAAACGCAGTGCCGCACTTTAGAGACGCTCCCTTCCTGAAGGCATGCAGACGTGCTTGGCTGTCTTGTGCTCAACATCTGCTCTCCCTACACAATAAGGCACTTCAGCCAAACTCCCATTTCCATTTCAAATGTGAGAATCACTCCTCCCCATCTGCCTGAGCGCTCTTTAATTGTTTCTTTTATTTGTACTGATTCTGAGTGATTTATGTAAAGTAGCATTTGAAAAATTATAACCTATTTTAAAATGTTCAGGTTCTGCACCTTGCATTTTAGGTTCTTCTTTTGCTACCTAATTACTCAGAAGCTTATCAGCATCACCATCATCATCATCATCATCACCATCATCATCATCACCACCATCATCATCACCCCCACCCCCACCACCATCATCACCATCACGATCATCATCATCACCACCATCATCATCATCACCCCCACCACCATCACCATCATCATCATCACCACCATCATCATCATCATCATCATCACCCCCACCACCATCACCATCACGATCATCACCATCACCACCATCATCATCATCATCACCCCCACCACCATCACCACCATCATCATCATCATCATCACCCCCACCACCATCACCATCACCACCATCATCATCATCATCACCCCCACCACCATCACCACCATCATCATCATCATCATCCCCACCACCATCACCACCATCATCATCATCATCACCACCACCACCATCATCATCATCATCATCATCACCCCCACCACCATCATCATCATCATCATCATCACCATCATATTCCCTGCCAGAGGCCCAAGTCCAAGCAGAAGATTGTCTTCCCTTTACTTGTGATTTGCTTAGCTGACTCCAATGCATTGTATTTATGTATTTCTAAGACTACAGTATGAATTTACGGGACAGATTAATCACAGGATTATGCTCCAACATGGGGCTCCATTCAGCAACCTCCTGCACCGCTTCAGACACCCCTGGCCGCCCTGCCTGGTCCTCAAAGCTGACATTCATGCCATTACCTAAAAGGAGCTTCTTCCACAGTGTGACGACTGTCATGACTGGACGACAAATTCCCAAACACTGCCTAAAACTGCCACACTGTATATTTCCTGTTATTCTGCTTATGAGAATGTAAACAAACGGGCCTGTTTCTCATGATAAAGGGGACAAAATCCTCTCAAAGGACACGGTGAAAGCAATCTTCTGAATTCCCCTTGTGTACCGAATGCTTTAAGTTAAATCAGAAGCGTGCCAGTTAACGACAGCATTGAAGATTTGTTTAATCTCCGTTTGGAAATTAATTTATGAACAGACATGCAGTTTAATTGTATTCAACACTGTCTCGACTGGAGTCATTTTACCAATAAGGTTATATAAAAACAGAAGAGAATCGGCAGTGAAGCAGCAGCCTGAGTTAATCAGAAGATTCTGCAGGGGTATTTCTGTTGTACCTTGGAAATAGCCTTTTCTCCATCACATGCAGTGTGTGAGTGTTTGTCTGCCCTGTGTTGCCTGGGAGAGGTTCCAAACCCACCCCACTCCCATAGTGACCAGAATTGGATGAAGGGGTTACAGGGAGGGGCAGATCAAACAAGCTAAGTGTTTCCAGTCGTGGTATAAAATCACACCAGTGTGATGAGCAGTGAGCGGCTTGCATGTGAGAGCCGGCTTTGGGTCACACCAGTGTGATGAGCAGTGAGCGGCTTGCGTGTGAGAGCCGGCTTTGGGTCACACCAGTGTGATGAGCAGTGAGCGGCTTGCGTGTGAGAGCCGGCTTTGGGCAGCCGCTTGCCAGGCGGATGGAGCCTTCATACGCACCAAAGAGGTGGAGACAGCTTGCAGTTTACCTGACACCGTGAGGGTTAGGGCTGCGCTGGTGTGTGGCACGATTTTATTTATAATTTTAAGCCACCTGTCTCATTTTCTGCTCTCTACATCAGGGACATGCGCAGTGTTTTGTGAGGGGCGGGAGTTCGGCTAGAGGAGCCTGGCCGAATCGTACCTATTACCTGTTTACGGCACAGATTATTGAAAAGGAGCACTAGGTACAGCGAAAGGGGGCCGGAAGGGGAAGGCGTTCCTGCAATCTCTGTCAGCTGATCGTCTCCTTCTTAAAGGCACAAAACTTTTGGCTGGGAAAAGAGACAGAAAAGACTTTGTCCAGGAACACACCTGCACAGACAATGAACCCAATGACTGTTGTTCATTTGGAACACTTCACAGAACTACAGACCGACGGAAAGTCCAAGAGTCACGAAGGAATAAAAGCGGAATGAGCTACTCACACCTACAACCTGGAAAAACGATGACAGGTTGTCATCTTCCTGTAATATACGCCTGCATTTACATTTCCAAAATCTATTGAAATTTGACATATAAAAAACGGATATTAGCTTCTGACAGACGTTTCATTGCTGAACTACAAAGGAATGGCGGCAAAGGAACATTAACTCATCTTCTGCGTGAGCATTCAGAGAAGCGCTGTTCAGTTCTTTAACCTCAGGTTCGGGTTTTATGAAATTACTTCCATTGGTACCTTGCTAATGAAGTGAAATGAGCCCTATTGTGAGAATGAGCAACATCAGAACACAGAACTGCCAAACTAGTTAGAAAATGAAATGCATTTTATCTTCATAATGCACCCATGGCTTCGCCTTGGGTCACCGAGCAACGTGAGATGGCAAGCCCAGAAAACAGCGAGCGCAGCACACACAACGGACTGATACGCTGGGGCAACATAATGGAGGAAAAAAGGTCAACACCAAACATTCAGGCAGCACCATGCTGCTGACAGGCTCCGCCCCTTTTTGTACAGACCAATCACCAGGTCAGTTTCCAGAGCCCCGCCTCCTTGGACTTGGCTTGTTTTACTGACCAGGACACCGGAATCTTTCAAAAGACCCCCCTGTTACCACGGGGGAGTTGTGGATTCCGGAAACCTCGATAGGTGTGGGATAAATTGGCGAAATGTAACACAAATGTGCAACGTATCTCATTGGTTAGGGAAACACACTGGCAGACCAAGCATGGCCTTGGCCTTCAGACCAAGCATGTCCTTTCGCAGGGACGTGATTTGCCCACATCCTTCTGAAGGTGGGTACAGCCCTCACCCACTAATTGCTTCATCTCAAAAAACGAGAGACGGTTAATCTGCAGCGTCAAATCCTGTTCGTACAAGGTAGGCTTGTTTGCTGCAAGATTACTTTGTTGATCAAGAACCTGGCATGTTTTCTGAAGGTTTTCAAAGGGGACATTTGTCCAAACCGTTTTGGTAGCATTTCCAACAAGGTAATTCCTAAAAGAGTTCCGAAACCTTCATAAATCACAGCTCTGTTAAGCCATCAGACTTTCCTCACGTCGGCAGCTGTAATGGCGACTTAACAAGCCAAATTACTGGAAATATATTATGCACAGAAGCCTGTTTGTTCACCACATTTGGTGACCTGTCCCGTGTGCTGCGCTTACAAAGCCTCCATCCCCCACCAGCCCCACAAGCCAGGCTTCTTCAGCTGGTAATTGAATCCCATTTCTGCCCATTTCAATCCCATCTTTGGTCCCAGACCAAAGATGTTCCCTCTACAACCTAGAACATCATTTATTTCAGTTTTGCCTTGTTTTTACAGCCGAGAACCTGTTTCATGTTGAATTCTTCTTCATAATTTCGCCCTGTCAGAGAGTGATCTGAGAGACTGGCGCAATCATGGCCCACAAAATCACGGAAATGATCAGCCACGCTCACGGCCCAGCTCCGCTCGGTGCCGGGATGACAGTCACACACACC